GTACTGCGCATGCGCACCACACTCGAGTACACTGTTGGTGCGTTCGGGGAGACGCTATTAGCGCTACTCTGTTATTCTATCTTCGTTATTTATTAGGCGTAAAACAAGGCTAGAATGACACAAATAGCGCTAATAGCGGATCCCTGAACGCACCTTGTAGAAGTGAGAGATCTGGGTCTCTATTCTTGAAAAGAAATTATACGAAATTTAAAAAAAAATACTATAGTATACGTAACGTATACTGTGGTATTTCTCTAAACCTTCGTATACGTTTCTTTTCAAGATTAGAGGCCCTGATATTCCCTGTCTCGCTATATCTCTCTCTCTCTCTCTCTCTCTTCGCATACCCTCCACTCCCAAAAAGAGGCTGCGTTAGCAATATAGTAGTGTTACATATATGGATATATCACACGCTTTACGGAACACAGCCATTATTGATGTTTATACGTTGTTTGCAATCCTTCCGATACTCTCTTGATAGAAATCTCCATAATGCTTTCTCTTAAACAGAATTATTAAGCAAATTGACATACCCTTAATCGATTATTGCCTCCCGAAGTAGCCAAGTTCGTGACCCCGAGTATCCTTTGAATAAGTTTCGTTACTTTGTAAGACAAGTGTGTGATTGATCCGTTGTTGTTTAATGCAGTAGAGAAGTTTGTTTTTATGAAACTTCGACAGAATCAATATATTATTTATGAAGAGTTCACCACTGTTGCTTCGTTCTTTGACTTTCTTAACGTAACTCGTGCTAAAGAAGTTTAATAGGATATAATAGACAGTAACAAAACGTCTTCAAAATGAAAAATTAGAAAACGTCTTTCAAATATTAATGTTACTGACTGAATAATCTTTCCATCGAAGAAAAAACAAGATCATATTATTTATTAGCTAATTCCAGAAGAAAACAAAGTTATTGATAAATAACCTGAATAAAGATAGTTTTAGATATGCTTGATTGTAACTTTGATTAAGAAGATCGTACGATAGATTACGGTAAAACCAATCAGTGTGCAAAATGAATTTGTAATTCACAAAATTGTAATTATTGAATGTAATGTTTAATTAGTTTAACTTTCACATTTGGGTAGACATTTTTTAATTAATAATTCAATATATATTTCATCGTACGTTTCTTTAACGTTTAAATAGGTAGGTGATCACAGCACCTCACTCATATTTTAAAACTGTTTTGGAAAAGAAAAGAAAAAGTATATTGCGTAGAAGTTTTAAAGTTATTTTTACATTCCTCTATCTCAAAGGTATAAATAATGTAAATTTAATTCTATGTATATTTTTAAAAAATGCAACTATAAAGATAAAATTTGTGTGTTCTAAGCACCCCACCTACCTCAAAATTAACAAGTTCAATAACATAAAGATAAGTTGTGAATATTAATTGTTTCATCACTACAAGTTTTTCATCCCTTTGACTACATTCAATGTATTCAATCTCTCAATTACGACATGAATAACATACAAAGTACTAAAATAACAAGAAATCTCTTCCTTTGTAGCTACCGTGGGACATGATCCGCAAACGAGCAACGGCGGTCAGCCACAACTACAGCAACAGCAACTACAATTGGGGGGTTGGCTGGGAGGAAGTGCCGGTGACACTGGCGGTGGATTGGTCTGCCGATCTGGCAAATCGGTCAACGGCAGCAGCAACGGCAAACCGTCGTTACATCATCCTCAACAACAGCGTCAACAGCAACAGCAGCAGCAGCAACAACAACAAGGCCAATCTGGGGGTGTGGGGGATGACGAAGACGGGGGTGGAGGGAGCGGAGGGCTGGAGGGGACGGACGCAGAGGCGAACGACGCTGTTCACCTCAAGAGACGGGTGGGACTCGTCAGTGGGGTGGCTCTAATCGTCGGCACGATGATCGGCTCCGGGATCTTCGTGTCGCCGTCGGGTCTGCTGTTGCGTACCGGCAGCGTCGGCATCAGTTTTGTCGTGTGGACCGCGTGCGGTCTGCTGAGCCTCTGCGGCGCTCTTGCCTATGCCGAGCTGGGCACCATGAACACGAGCAGCGGCGCCGAGTACGCGTACTTCATGGACGCGTTCGGCGCCCCGCCTGCCTTTCTCTTCTCCTGGGTGTCCACCCTGGTGCTCAAGCCGTCGCAGATGGCGATTATCTGTCTGTCGTTCGCCCAGTACACCGTCGAGGCGTTCACCGTCGACTGCGAGCCACCTGACCAAGTGGTCAAGATCGTCGCCCTGCTGGCGATCGTTCTGATACTCTTGATCAACTGCTATAGCGTTAACCTGGCTACCGGTGTGCAGAACGCTTTCACCGCCGCTAAACTAATGGCCATACTCGTGGTGATAATCGGTGGCTCCTACAAATTGATACAGGGTAACACACAGCATTTGCAAACGGCGTTTGATACCATCGATGGCAGTACCATCAACATCGGTCGCCTTGCCACAGCTTTCTACACCGGCCTCTGGGCATACGACGGCTGGAACAATCTTAATTATGTAACCGAAGAGATCAAAAACCCTTCCAAGAATTTACCCAGATCCATCATGATCGGCATACCGCTCGTCACGCTCTGCTACGCGCTCATCAACGTATCCTACCTAGCGGTCATGTCACCGTCAGAAATGATTGAGAGCGAGGCCGTTGCGGTGGTAAATATGGTCAACGAAAATTTATTTAGAGACACATTACTCTTCTCAAGAAAAGATCCCTTTTGAAAGAATTGACGCGTAAAATGGTAGAATCGATCCCATCAAACACCAACTAACAATCACATAACTGTTAGGTATAATATATATTGCAATTATATTGTTGAATGGGAAATTATAACTAGCAGTTACTGTTAATTGGTATTTGCTAAAGACATGAATTTCCTCGATATCGCTTTGCGAGTAGAGTTGAGTCATCGGAATTCGGAGAGAGACTTTGCTCTGATCAATTTGTTTCTGTATCCTGATGATGGATCAAGATATTTTTTCGCAGACGTTCGGCAATCGGATTCTGGGCGTGATGGCGTGGCTAATGCCACTCTCCGTAGCGATCAGCACCTTCGGATCCGCTAATGGCACCCTGTTTGCTGCGGGTAGACTCTGCTTCGCCGCGTCGCGAGAGGGTCATCTGCTCGACTGCTTGAGCTATGTGCATGTGCGACGCTTTACTCCTGCCCCAGGCCTCATCTTCCATTCCCTCGTAGCAGGTATCAAAACAGATCTGGATTAAACAAATTTGCTTCGATAACTATCTTTCGCATTCACCAAAGTCAAATTGCTCGTTTCTATTCGTGTTTGTTTGCGAGCGTTCGCTTGAGATCTGACTTCATCTAAATTTTTAAAATTGTTTTTTAAACATTTTTTCGATATAAATTTTCAATTCGTCTTTTAGATATCTTCTAGGAGTAGAATTGTATCTAAATTTTCTTACATCATGAACGTGTCCTCCCGACTTATTTGAGATTTTGTTTTATATAACATACATATGTTGTTCTACTTTCAAGGCGAGACCATTGCTATATGGACTGTATCGACTTCAAGGTGTCTAAATGTGTTGTAAGCCAAAATACTGATTTCGCAGGCGCGATGGTTCTCTCCGGTAACATCGATTCGCTGATTGACTTCTTCTCATTTACCGCATGGATATTCTATGGTGGATCGATGGTCGCCCTACTGGTGATGCGGAGGACCAGGCCCAATCATCCGCGACCGTACAAATGCCCATTAATAATACCTGTGCTCGTGCTCGTCATCTCCGCGTATCTCATAGTTGCGCCGATTATCGACAAGCCCCAGATCGAGTATTTGTATGCGGCTGGCTTTATCGGTGCGGGCATGCTCGTCTACCTCCCGTTCGTAAAATTTGGATATGTGCCCAAATTCATGGGTGGGTATAGACGTCGTTACACTGAAAATAAAGACTCGTCAATGAAAATTGACTAAAAGAAATGATTAAATTATAAAATTATAAAAATTTTATATAGTGCCTTGTTATCAGTTTTTATCAATATATTATAATATGAAATATTTAAACTTATTTTCAAAAAAGAAATAAATATCTTACTGATAAAAAGAAAAAGCAAAGAGTAAAACTCCAAGATCCTTAGTAAAAATCTGAAATTCAAATTAAACCAATCTAGTTGATTTTCAAGAAATTTGAAATATTAAGCTTATAGAAAGAAATATATGTAGAAATAAACTCTTAAAAGACTAATAAAATGAAGATCACAAATTAGAATCCTAAAAAGTATAAAAGTAAAATTAAATTTTAAAATCCTTTAAATCTCTCTTAAAAAATTTTAAATAAAAATTTACTAAATCTTAAAATAAAATTTCTTCTCTTCATTTTCTATTAAATTTGTTTGACTTTAAATTTTACATTGTATCTTTTGTTTGTTTTCTGATTATAGAAGGTGTCAATGCCTTCCTACAGATGTTACTAGAGGTGGCTCCAACGGCGGTTGCCTTCGACTGATTTCATTTCGAGAGATCAACGTACAGTTCTCCAGAATGCTGAATCATTCCATTATGGCATTGTGTGAACTGTATGAACACCTGAATATATCCTATTTTAAATACATGCAGACGACAGCATTATATCCTATATATTATAAAGCTCAAGGCTGGCCCAAAAAAAGTAATATAAAAAAATCATATAAAAAAATGCATATATATATATTATATAAAAATATATTATTTTATTACTTGTTATTCTTCATACATAGTATACAACATGCAGAAGAGATATTATTGTTAGACAATAGATAGTTGATGTTGTAATGAAAAAGTGATGAATCAACAAAAAATATTTTAAATGTTTGCAGTTATAAATTTGCCTCTTTTTCTTCATATCCTTATCCTTTTCCTGAACTACAAACATACAAATTGTGTATTATTTTGAATTCGCAAATTTTATTAATTTGTTCTTTAAAAAATTAATTTGTATATAATCTAAAATATATCTAGTGACAAATTATTAATTACAAATATACAGTTTTTATTTTTAACAGTTCTTCTTACAAGATATTTTATTTAAAACATGTTTCCACTTTATTCTACCAATTTCGTATAGAGTTTTAGTAAAGTTTCATGTTTGAGAAACTATTTTTATTTTCAGCCTTTCTTCTTGGGCAAGATAGTTTTTGATACTTTCCCATAAACTTGTAATATACCACTATCCTTCTTCCGTGTTTTCTTGGACTTAGGTTTGAGCAAACTACTGGTTAATCCAGACTTGTGTCCTTCCTCCTTTTTCTTCTCTTTCTCTTTCTCTATCTTTCGACGCATTTTTAATGCTTTGTAATTCATTCTTCTGTTCTTGGGAGGTATTGCACCTAAGCTAATAGCGAGCTCAACCTTTGCTCTCCTCGCTTTCGGTTTCTCGAAACCAGACATACCAAATTTGATAATCTCATATCGCAACTTCTTCATCTCTTTTTCTTGCTGTTCTTTTAATTCGGCAGGTGTTTGTTTCGTAGATTCCTTAAGCTTCTCTTTATTATTTGAGTCATCTGCGGATTTCACCTTTTTCTTTGGCGCTGTATAATTCACAGATATATAATCACTCGTCGCAGTTTTCTTGACTTGGGAGCCACGTGTTGGTACAAAGTCTTCCATCTTTTTCTCGCACTGAAAAAAGTTAATATTAAAAGAAAAATGCTTTATTTCTTTTCTGGTCTAACCTCTCTATTAATAATATAAAAAAAAAATAATTTTCATAACCTTAAAGGAAATATAACGAATCAATAAACGTTGAAAATATTTTAAAAATAAAAATTCATGTATTCGATAATCAATAATTATGAATATTTAACTTACGGCAATCTCTAATCATAACTAATCATAACCATGTTAGCGAAATTGACATACAAATCACAAGTTGGTTCTAAAAGCAGTTCACATCTTGCCGCGTTCATATAGGTTAAGGTATATTTTCATACATGAGCCGCTCAAACCTATCATTTCAGTGACAAAAAGGTAACGTATCATTTTTCCTTAGAAGCTGTACGTTCATTGGCTACCACTTTGTATTTTGCCGCATGGCAAGCACTTCGGTATCCAAAATATTAAAGGTGCATTCACATACAAGCATTAAGCAGCGGAAGCAACAACCAATCAGCTGGACGATACGGGCAGTGGTGTAAAAAATATTTTTTTCGTCACTGTAAAAATCGCCTCGTTGATTGGTTGCTACTTCCGCTGCTTGATGCTTGACGCTTGCATGTGAATGCACCTTTACAGCTGAACTTTTTACACTTATTTTTCTTTTTTTTTAAACGTAATTCGTTGAATCCACAAATAGAAATAATTAGCGCGAATTCAGTCATCTGCATTATTAAATTAATACATACTAAAAGCTGCTATACATGAAATTAACAAAGTTAAATATGGATACAAGATATATTGCAGATTAAAATTATTTATAAATCATATTTCTAATAATTTATAATTTTCATGTTTTATTTAAAATTAAAATTCATTAGTCGTTGTTTTATCACTATATATACATACATATCATGAATCATTTACAATTTATTTAAAAAATTTTATTTTTTATAAATTATATAAGCATTCTTTGTTTGTGTGTGTATATGTTGTGACTCCTAATCTAATTATGTGACTCCTAATCTAATTATTTTATTATAACACAATAACTGTAAAACATTCAATATACATGTACTGGAAAATTTTATTTTTTTGTAGAGAGTTTTGTTGTGCATAGAAAAGATTCATGCAAAACTTTATGAAGCTTTTGAGCTTTATGTAGACCAAATCCAGGACATAAGGTTAAAGTATTGGGTTGTGCTCTTACAATGTTAGCTAATGTGCCAAAAGTTGTTAGAAGAGTTGTTGCATCAGTTTTGTTGACAGATCTTACTGTCGTTAAGGCATTGACCAACTGTAACGAATATTTATTATATAAATATTTCTGTCATATATACATATACATATAAAATATACATATTTTTAAATATACATATACATATATTTTAGAAGTAGATAACAATTACTTTTTGATAAGGCGCTGTTTCGCTGCGTTCCATGATATTATCAGGAGGTTTGTTTTCATATATTTTGTAAGTTTCAATAATTTTTCCTGCATCCTCTGCATTCCATGCTAACATTATTGTCAAGTCTGCCAAAATGGAAATCCTTGTTAAATGTTTCAAAGCATGATGAGGCTCGGCGACATCAATCTAATTGAATAAAAAATTCTAATATAAATACAAAAACTACAAAATTTCTAATTTATACAAAACTTAAGAAATTATGAATTATGAATGCATATAATAAAAATAAATAATATAATTACGCCTAATCATAATTAATGTTGTACAAAGAATTATATTAATAGTCAATTATATTTTTATAAAACAAGTATATAAATTACAGTTACATACCTGTACTAAAAGCACTCGTAAGTTATAAGCATTGCCCAACAACTTAAGTCTTTCATGAATATAATCAGGATTCAGTTGATGATAACGAATTGATAAGAAAAGAGCACATGTAGTTTTTCCCATTACATAATCTGGCACAATGTCGGAATATTCCCATAATACATTTGTTATAAACTTCAGTAAGGGATTGCCTTTCTGCAGAGAGAAAAGAGATATTATACATTTTTAAAATTTAATTAAGTTTTAATATAGCATAATGTTCTAAATTTTATTGACAAACTTACTTTCTATAAAAATATATTATTAACTTTAGTTAGTATAGTTTACAAAATATATTTACTCCTACAAATTTATACTATTTTATAAAACATAAAAAAACAGTATTACTTGCTTTGGACTGACAAGGACATTGCTAGTTCTACTTGAAGATATTGCCACAGAAGTTTCAGGCTTAGAAGCTGGCAAATCCGTGAAAAACTCAGATTTCTTCAAGTTGCTAAAAGCAGCTGAAAAAAAAGAAATTCGAATTAAGATACACAGATAAAATTTTCAATTGTATTATAAGTAAGTAATATTCTTGATAATTAAAATTATTAAAAATAGGTTTTGTTTGCTCGTACATTCTGCTCATAGATGCCAGTAGAGATACAACAGAATGTGTGGATATGATTGCAGATTAACTATAATCAAGCAGAATTGATCATTCAATAGCTATTTACATATTTCATTATGAAATTATACATAGATTTTGCTTGATCGCTTTACTGGTAATTTACTATCCGATTATCAACGATTCTACTGACAGAACATGAGCTTAATGTAGATGCAAATTAATACAGTCTACATGAAAATTCGATTCAAATCTGTTGATAAATTGCCAACACTTTATTAATATTTTGTCTAATAATATTATAGCGTAACTTACTCTGGAAAGACATATTTTTTGTTTGTTTTGTCGGACATTCATTATCCAAATCTTCTGCATTTTCTGTTGTATTATCCATAATTCCTCTCTTTCATTACATAAATATTTGATAAATATTTAGAATATCCCGCTCCTTAAACAATAAAAATATACGCAACTCAGTTTTGATGCGAGCTGATATCTTCACGATTTTACAAACAGTAATCGATACAAAGATAAAGCGAGATAGACAATCCAGTGTGTATAGAGCCTACTGAATGCACCCATCCATTCACATCAGTTGTTGCCTAGAAATTTTCCATTGTATCACCAATGAGAAAATTGCATATTAAAATTGATGATGTGGCACTCAAGAGAGTCAAGAGTGGCACCATGGGGTGGCACTCTTCTAAAATGGAGTGTATCGTCGATGCTGTTGATAGTTCATTTATGTTACGACCCGGTGACGCTTAACCAAAAAAGGATTAAGCCGTTGGAAGGTGAGAGCAATCGGGCAATTGAATTTTATCAATATTATTGTATAATGGCTCAATATCCGCCCATTAATGTACGTCTGGCGGTAAACAGGGTAGACTTCAATCTAATAACGAATGATGGCATCCAGCCACGGCTCTACACTCCCGGCGAGGAGATATCCAGTCAACCGGATTTTCTGAGGTAGATAGTTGGCTGCTTTGATTTTACGCAATACAGGATTGTGAAACTGATTGTGTAATTAGAACTGATTGTTTGATTAATTGGAACTGATTATTTAATTAGAGGCCATGGAACTTACGTTGATGATGAGAAAACATTGCGTGCATCAGTTGCTGGGATTTTGGAAAAGGTGAACAAACTTATATCGATTAGGCCCTTGAAGGCACGTTATAATGGAGACATTGGAGATCTTGTCGTAGGAAGGATAACGGAAGTACAACAGAAGCGTTGGAAAGTCGATATAAATGCTAAGCTTGATGCTGTCCTGTTGTTGTCCAGTGTTAATTTGCCTGGTGGTGAATTGGTAAGACATATATACAAATGAAACACTTTTGTTTTTTAACCCAGCGTGAGTGAGATCGGGGGTATCTCATATCCAGGCATTTTTAAAACAAATATTTTTGTTCGTTATTGTGTTTTGTGGAATAATTATAACCTGGCGTTTAAGTGCAAAAATAAATAATTTTAAACACAAATTTTTATTTTATTATGTTGATACGTTTAGGACATCCAGGAGAAAGTAATATAATATAATAACAAATCATTATATAGTATTATTATAAGCAAAATCTTTGAATAAATATATGAGTATACGATACCCACCTCATTCACGCCAGGTTAAATATTTATAAAAAATTTAAAATTTAAGCCTTGAGATTGTTTTTTTTATAATAAAAATCAGTAAAACAGATCAATTTAGAGCCAATTACAGTATAAAAACTCAGATTACAATGTAAAAACTAGTTTATTATAATCTTAAAATTAGATTTTTTAATGATGTTTAAATTTTAATATCTTAAGATGCTAATGTGGCTTTCCGATATCTTAAGACTGTACTTAAGACAATCTTAAATATAAGAATCAATTATGAATACCGACCTTAGAATCTATTTAGAATTTAGAAAAAAAACTGTATATAATTATTATTTTCTTTAATTTATAATAACTTATTCTTATATATGTTCAGTTTTGGTTTATTATTAAATTGTTTTTGGATATTAATATAACAAATTGATGATTTTTTACTTTGGAAAAAATATAATTTTATTATTTATTATTATTGCTATTCTTTAATGTAGTCAAATATTTTTTCACCAAAATGTATTTCAGAATTATTGAATACTCTTATAATTAATTCAGTTTTTTTTATAAAACTTTTATTTAGTAAATACTAGTGTTAAAATAATAAAAAAATGCAACAGCTCAGCATATCTATGTATTTGAATACTCTTTGAACTTGCAGAGAAGAAGATCCGCCGAAGATGAACAGACGATGCGCAGGTATTTGCAGGAGGGAGACCTGATTTGTGCAGAAGTGCAATCAATCTTCATTCCCTACATACACGAGTATTGAAGTATGGCAAACTGTCGCAGGGGATAATGTTAAAGGTACCGCCGATGTTAATTCAACGCAAGAAGACACACTATCACATTCTAGAGAGCGGAGCCACTTTGATACTCGGTTACAATGGTTACGTATGGATCAGTGCAAACGTTCAAAACGTCGATAAATCCGAGGGTGGTTTCACGGAGGATCTGTCAAAAATTCCAATAGAAAATCGCAACGTTTGCACGCGGTTACGTAATTGCATCTTAATTCTGGCGCAATGTAACATGCTATTATCTGATACCTCTGTGACGTATGCTTACGAAGAATCCTCTAAGTACGATGTACACGAATTGTTGAATCCTGAAGCGATGGTCGACGTGTCGCTGTTAACGCATCAGAGACTCGCGCGGTCTATGTAATATCACGGCCCAAATGAAATAATATTGTAATGCGGAATGGTACAATTATGAAATAGAAATCTAAAACTATAGTAAAGGAATGAAATTAATCCTTTCATTTGCAATCTTGAAATATAAAAAACATGATAAATAAAACAATTTTTTATATAATATTGTAGTATACCAAGCCATTTGATAATAAATCGATTTGACAAAAGTGGATACTTGTGGAACACTTGTTTTTCTTCGAGAGAATCGAGTGGCTAGATTATAACACATTGCAGATAACAACGATAAGTATCATATATAAAATACTGCAGTATTTTCATCGATAGATCTATATTTGTCTGAACGGTCCAGGTGTAAAGTGATCGGACAGACGCTAATCTGAGTATTGATTAAACAAGTGGAACTTGGAAACAGGTAGTCGACAAGTAGTGTCGAGAGACATGGACGCGTGTTTCAACGCCTTCGATAAAGACTGCGACGGATTTCTGTCGATTTCCGAATTTGATCTCATATGCCGCGCATTGTTTCGAAATGACCGCGGCAAGATTTACGGCCTCGAGGAGGATCAATTGCGCGAGGTGTATTCAATCTTTGATCTCAAAGGTGACGGCCTGATCGACAGGAAAGAGTTTGAGGTATATAAGGGAACTCAATATTAATCAATTTATAATAATTTATTTTAAAAGAGAGCTTGAGATATAAAATACAGAAAAAAAATTTTTAATTTATACTTTTTCTAAATAATAAAAAATATATTATTAGTTATTTTTTTCTAACAATTTTTTTCTTGCTATCTTATCTGAAATGGTAATAGAATGTCTATTCATATAATGATATTAATGCAATCAATTTTATATTTAAATATTTTGTTCTTTTTTTAAATTATTTAATTACCGAAAGTGTTAATAAACTTTACATTGACTTACTTAATATTTATATATATATTTGTATAAAATTGTTTCTATTGGTCCAACTTTTTGACTATAGGTCTGCTGGAACCGATGGATCAAAGTATGTACACGTCCCAAAAGCGCTTTCCTAATTGTGGACGTGCAAAATGATTTTATAACAGGTTCCTTAAACATAAAGCAGTGTGCCGCACAACACGATGGTTCGGAAGTAATCGACCCAATTAACCGATTGTTGGAAACTGTACCGTTCGATTCGGTGTTTTATTCCCTGGACTGGCATCCCGTGGATCATGTATCCTTCATTGATAATTTGCACTTGAGGTAATTATATCTCAACATATTGCAAAATGCAAAACGTTAAAAGTCCATTTTATCTTTACTTGAGATGTATCTATACGAGCTTAAATTTTAAAACATTAAATTTCACATGTTCGACTGCTCTATTTTTATTAAAGTATCAAAACTTTTATTCATTAATATAAAAGATACGAAATAGGCAATTATAAAGAAAGAAATAGTAGCAGGAAGAAAGTCTTTGCATGTTGATATTCATTAGTAAATGTTATTATCAGAGAGGTAGACATCAGCAGCAATATCTCGAAGGAAGCGGCGCGGGTGTACGACACAGTAACGTTTCAAGGACCACCGTTGCTGAAGCAACGCCTGTGGCCGCGTCATTGCGTACAGGATTCCTGGGGTGCCGAGCTCCATAAGGACCTAAAGATCGTCGACAAAGCGATCAAGATCTACAAGGGCACGAATCCAGAAGTTGACTCGTATTCGGTATTCTGGGACAACAAGAAGCTCACCGAGACCACGCTGTCGTCGCAGCTGCAGGAAAAAGGCGCCACCGATATCTATATCTGCGGATTGGCCTATGACGTTTGCGTGGGCGCTACTGCAGTGGATGCGCTCACCAGCGGTTATCGCACTATACTGATCGATGACTGCAGTCGCGGCGTGGACCTCGTCGACATCGAGAAGACCAAGGCCACCGTAATAGGCAGCAATGGCGTGATAGTGAACTCCAGCCAAGTAAAGGCCATGGTGGAAGGAAGAGACCGACGACCAGAGCTCGGTTACAAGCTTGCATTGGAAATTAAGCAAAAATTGAGCCTCGGTGAAGAATAATTGTAGCAAATAGTATAGTATATCTAGAAACATTTAAATGGTAGACTAATATGAAAGACCATAATTTCATTTTGAAGCAGATCTTATATACTTAGAAAAGTTGGAAATGAAAAGGAAAAAAATGAAAAAAATAATGTAAAGATGAATTATAGAATGGAGATACCGTTTCCGCTAAATGTTAAGATAGTTAAATTAGATATTAGAATGTAAGCGTTGAATTTGTTAATATAAGTGTTATTTTTGGAAATAATTCTTTAGGAGAGATAAAATTTATAAAAATTAGAAGATTGATCCTAAGATCTGAAATAAGTGATATAAGCATTTAAACTTAGTATAGATATAAAATAGTATATAAAATAGCATAGATATATAAAATTCAGTCGTTTTAGAACTTAACATGCGAGAAAAGATATTTAATTACATATTTATTAAAAATACATGTAAAAATTGAGTCAAGAATGATTTATCTATATGCATATATGTACCATTAATGAGAATGATGTTCATTGGGAACAAAATTCTCATAATATGTACTTATAAATATTATGTTATGGAATAATAAGAGATAAAATTAAGTCTTAGAATATGCTGCATATATTGATACATGTGAAATTATTATTTTGAGATGAAAGAATATAGGAAATTAAGTATTGAGTTTTATTACATTATACATTTTATTTATACTAGAATTCAACATTGTGTGTTATTCGTTTTTGATTTACAATAAATTTTGTCAATAAAAAATAAAAGTATTAATGTAGAAATATTGTGTTATATTTTCTAAGAAAATAATTGGCTAATCTTTGCTCTATTGTGATACAAGATTTATATTTTCATCAATTTTTACAAATTAATTACATTCGCATTTTTTTAACAGATTCGTAACATATAGATATACATAAACATGTTATAAAATATTAAATAAATCATATGGATTTAATGCAAGACGATCTTTTATATTCGCCCACGATTTTATTTCATTATCAGAAATTACATAAAATTTCACAGTTACGTGAAATGAAAAATATTGTGTACCGCGAATTTCGAACTATTTTTAAAATATGTATATTTTGGCGCTACGTTATGAAGCGCTATCTCGCGAAGTGCATGAAAACGTGTTCGAGTTCTTCGAGCCGGAAAGAACGACCGCGGATCGCGCAAGTGTTGAAAAGCACGCGTGTAGATCACCGCATAGTTAACACCAGTTAACACATCGTGTTGTGTCTTGCGGGCCGTCGTGGAGTATGTCGTTGAGCTGAATAAGCTGTAGTCACACGCGATCGCGTAACATGTCTTTGTGCTTTCGCACGCTGCCCGGCCGGCTGTCGTCGCTCGTAAGCGGCGGCAGCGGCCGAAAAACGCCGTCAAAACTCGACCGTAATCAGCTGCAAAAGAACATCGAGTCGTCCGCTTTCCTGAAGCAGGTACGTCACATGCGTGACCGATTCCGTTTGGCAAGTCTCATGTCGCAACGTGTAGACGATACCTGCCAGCGACTGACTGTCCTAACCTCCAAATGCTTATATAATCGCGTGACTTCGTAGCGACGACGTTAAACTCGTCGATCCGCAAAACATGAATTTTCGTTGTAATTTTTGCGACAGCGACGAAATCCGAGTCTCCGATTTTTATTAAGTCGTGATGATCAAAGAGTGGTTTAATAAGGCATCGCACGTCATTGTCGCAAAAATAAAATGTTTTGCATGTACACATCGGACTGTTTGTTGATGTATGGTATACAAAATGTTCTGAAAATATCACGCATTATTTCTTTCAATTATAGACTTATTTGAAGCGAATTTTTCTGTAGTAAAAATATAAGAAATGACTGTAAATTTATGGTAATAAGCCTCTAACAGATGACTAAACTACAAACTATATAGTTGTATTCTAAGGGTGCGTTCCGAGTTACGCATGAAGCTCATGATGCATCATTTGTCCTTGTTGTTTATCAATTAATAAGAAGGATATAATGATTATCATGCGCTTCATGCATAACTCAACGCACTCTATGTTTAAAAATAGAAACCATTATACATGCTAATCTAACACACACGCACACGCACACACACACACACACATATATGTATATATATGTGTACATAAAACTATCGTTATATTTTAATCTGAATAATTACCAATTTGTAATCTTCTTTTATGTTATAGTTTCTTACAATTACATACTGCTGTAGAATCTTACTATATCTATAAACTTTCAGTTCTTGGGTACACAGAGAACACTATCTGTAAGAGCAAACACCACAGGAAAGTCAGTACCTTTTGCAAGATGTACATCGCCTCTAAATTTCTCGCTAGCTTATCTTGACGTTCACAATCAATGGAATAAAAAGCTAACCAAACGATACTCTGACGATGAAAGCAAGAATGCAATGATGTATTGGGTCCAAAGCCCACACAGGCTGCACAAGTCACAAAGGCTCAGTGTTGCCTTGAAAGGCAGGAATCACATAGCTCCCATAGGAATCGTGTCAAACAATGTTAAAATGTTTCAGGCACAAAGTGTTACAAGAAAAGATAATTCATTTCTATGTAATAATAGGGTGATTTCTTTAGAAAGTTTACACAGTAGTCAAGAAACAAATATTGACAAAAATATCTTATTTATTTCTGCTAATACAAGTAATACTCTAAAAATGAATCCGCAACAGTCACCACAAGAAAACGAGGGTAAACCATCGCAAGAACAACTGCAATCTATAGTCGATTGTCTTAGTCAAGATGTATGTCATGTGATTACAGGATATTCCAGAATTATTGCACGTTCATTGACTTGAATTCGAACTTACAATCTAAACAAAGTACAATAATTCTGAGACAATTTTCTGAGGCATAGTTGTCTAGGATAAGAATTCTCTTATGCTAGACAGTTCTCTGGATTAGACTATTATTTTCTGATTGAAATATTGTTTGCAGTTACCAAAGCTGTTTGTGAAACCTTTAAACATGTTGATATATACTGATGATCTAGTTTTTATCAATAATATTAGAGGAGTAACAACAAGGTAAATTTATTACATAAATTAATTTATGTAATAATTTCTAAAACAATAGGAACTGTCTAACATTAAATATTTCTATTTCTTCATATATCTATGTAAAAATTATTGCAGGGGACTTAACAATTATATTAAACAGTTAATACTGCTTAGGGCGATTGGTCACATAAAGTTTGCATATATTAAATTAGATATCATAAAGATAACAATGCATCCTGAAAGCGATACCGTACAGGTTCGTTGGCGTATACGAGGTATCACGGGCTGGAAGGTGTTCATTATGTTTTGGAAATATAAATTTTGGAAAATACAAGATGCCATAAATACCAATCACGATGTGTAAGTATCACCTGTATTACGAAATTCATGTTAACAGAAACATAATTGTAATAAATCATCATAAATTCTCGCAAACATTAATTCTAATTAATTGAAGTTTTTACTGTATTTGAAAAGAACTTTAATTTTCTAATATTCCGTATTAGAGATTTTTTATTCTATCTTAAAAAAAAATAAAATATTTAAGTTCCCTTCAATTAATTTTCCTTATAGAAACTATGGAAATAATATTTATGGGATTTATTTCAGATGGTACGATGGTTTCTCTACTTTTTATGTTAATGCTAATGGCAAAGTCTATAAGCATATTGCGGACAAGATGATGCCCGATCAGGATACAGTCACGAAAAAGGAAGACCTACGTATCGCACCGAAATTAGCGCTATTCACAAATCTTGCAAATATATTTGGTAGCAACGAAGATTCTATGAATTGAATACCATCTATGACGTAATCACTGCCGGCTGATAGAATTATACGATTTTACTGAAATCGTCATAACGAACAGAATAAGAAGAATGCTTTTTTCCATGGGTCAATGGTTTCGCATGTTGCTGGCGTATCAATTTCGTTGTAAATGCATCCTTACGAAACGATGATCGGTAGTAAATAAGAAATATGTGAATTAAAAAAGATGTACATTACTTAAACAGTATCTTTGTATGATTATAAACTACCTATATCTGGTTTTTTAATTGTTTAGTAATAGCACTGTCCATATAATTTTGCATTACTGTAAAAAGATATGACAATTATATTGCAGTATATTTGAAAAATGTTACAAAATGTTAGAAAATGAGACAATTGTTTACCATAGTTAATGAGGCTATACATGATATCATTTGTTTTGCCTCTGGATTGTTAATAACTAGGGATGCATCGGATATTTGGAAAGTATCTGGTATTATCCGGCACTTTTTTACTATCCAATCGGAAAATCGGATATCATTAAAATCCGGGAATATATCCGATTAAAATTTGATATCATTAAATTGTTGATTTTTTATTATAACAAATATTCTAAAAATAAGTATGTATATTCATAATGATATATCTTATACATTATTGCAAAATTACAATTTTTTCTCTATAAGATTTTTTTTTAAGACATTTTTCTGGAATCCGGTCGGATATCCGACTCAAAGAAATTACCTTCTCGGATATCTGACCGAATATCTAATGAATTACATTTTGTCCGGATATTCGATATCCGGTAATTTTACGATCCGATGCATCCTTATTAATAACACATAAGATATCATTAATGTTTTTTAAATATATATATTTCGTACTTAATTTTATTTTATAAATATTATACTTATCACAATTTATAATTTCTTTAAGAGTTGTTTTAATTCATTATCATTCTACACAATTATAAAAGATATCTAAATTGTTACCGTTTTATCTAAATATGATTTTATATACATTTTCATATCTTTTTGTCGGATTGATTACATCGATTTTACACTGCTTATAAAAAAATAGGAAGGTATTTTGAGATACTTGTATTGTTTTCAGAATATAAAACATTCAGATAAACTAATAAATATTTTTAAACAAGACATAGATTGTAGCCATGCTAGTTGCATACGAGGCCTGAAAAAGGAAAAAATAAATTAGATATAAATGTATCATTTAAATGCTTTGCAAAACAATAATGTTAAATATCCTGTTACCTAAGTAATCGTCCATTAATGTGCCAATAGCAAACTGAAACAAAAAATTTAATATGTAAATTGATGTAAAACAGAAAGATTCAGTATTAATTTAATACTTACAATTCCCGTGGCATCAACTCTTGTGCCTACAATTTTCAATCTAATTTCGTCATCTGCCTGAATAACTACATCCTGAAAGATATGTTCGAATTTATTACTATCAAATTTACAATTACAAAATTTATGTTGCAATAAGCAACGTTTTATGACATGACTTACTTCTTCTTTCGATTTGTAACAGGCTGGATTCACATTCGGACAAAACTGCATATCCTCTGGGATTGACTACAGGAATTTAAATTTATGTCATATATGTAACACATACTTAATTACTATATTTCATAGTTGTTACAATTACTTACGTGATGAGATATAAAGCATGAAAGTGGGCCTATTTCAGCAAACATTCCAACCTGTAAATGTGATAATCATGAAACATCAAGTTGTTTAACAATTAATGAACGAATGTTGAGCACGAGTGTGGCATGGCATGCACTGACAGCGCACTGATCTATCGTGTCAGAGATCCCAGATTCGATCCCAGTAGGAAACAAAATATTTACACTCGTGTCTCCTGTCGGAAAAGGTTAGCAACCTCCTGAGAGTATCCTTACCCACAGAAACACCTCTTGAAAATCCACCGTTCGGAACCGACATTTAAAACTGTAGGATTCCCATATGCTCGTGGCAATTGAATAATCATTGTACACACCACAAGCATATGAGAGAGGTGTAACACAGGCCTAAGGCCTAACATAAAAAGAAGAGAACGAATGTTTAAACAGATCATGCCATACTCTTGAAAAAGCATCTATTTGTACCTTATTCACTTGAGTCACGATCGCATCTAGCACTTCACCCTTGAATGGCCTAAATACAATCGCTTTATACTTGACTGGATATACTACAAAACCTTGTCCTGGTTGTATAATACCAGCTCCTATATTATCAATTGTTGTGACAGCTACAACAAAGCCATATCTGAACAAGTATATAAAGTTAACGTAACTTAGGTTTCGAAACTTTTAATACCAAAATATAATACAAAAGATACTCACTTTCCTGTACAAGTACCTTCCACCTCTGTATAGAGCTTTTGCTTTACAGTATCGAGTAATTGGGGACCGAAGTATCGGGGATGTAACAAAATCTCATGTTCTAACGAAATCTGTATTTAATTAAGAAATTAAAAAGCGATTAATTTTGTTCTTTTAAATTTGATTAATTAATAGTAGATTTATACAGACTGTATGAAATTAACTCACGTGGTAAAACATGATTAAGCTTTAATTGAAACAATATTATAAATATCTAATTCAACATAAATTTTTTAGAAAGTATTAAACTTATCATTTAATTAAGTTTATATCAAGTCAGTAAACAATATTTTGCCTTCCACTAGCTGATGAAGGATACAGTAAACAAATATCTGTATAGGTTATACTTCAAAACCATTGGTCGCGTTCAGCAGACTCAACTGTTGTGGAGCGGATCCGTGAGCGCTCACTGCTATTGGTGTATTCTTTTAGATCATCCAATAGCAGCGAGAGCTCATTGATCCGCTCCGCAACAGTTGAGTCTGCTGAACGCGACCATTAGTAAAACATAATAAACGTTCTGGCAAGTTTTGGCAGTACTGGCACTACACGACAAAAAGACGAAGTTCTGAAATTTCCCTATATTGCATCATTTTATTCTTAAGGCGCATCTTTCAAATGCAGTTATTTTTCTCATAGTAGAGAACGAATTTTCTACTATTCCAAATATCTAGAAAATATATTTAATAAAAAAATATTGCTCAATAAAGAAAACAAAATTGAATTTTTTATATTTTTATGTATTAATTTCATAAATATATATTATATAATTTTATATATAATATTTATTATAAAAATATTTGTTACACTGCCAGTCGTAACACATTTATAATATATGTATAATAACATATTTATGAAATATAATTATGCAAAAATATAAACAATTGTTTTATTGCTTTTATATAAGATGATGAAAAAAAAATTCAGTGCTAAAGTACCTAAGCAAAAATGAATTCGATTCCCAGACTCTTGTTAAGTATCTACCTACCTTCATGTATGGCATTAGACATTTTGACTAGAAAGATATGTTGTTAATAAACACAAAGAAATAAAATATGAATTTGACCCCAGAGTAATCTAAGAATAGGTAAAAAGGCGATTATCATTTAAGGACAAAAATTCCAAAGTAAGTCTTAAAAACAATTCCGATTTTCCAGACAAAAATTAGACAAAAAGTCTGATCACAAACTCTCGTAATAGGAAAAATTACCATTTTATGAAATGAAATCAGAAATTATAATTTTGTAAGGATTATAAAATAAGTAGATGTATAAAGGTAATATTTATTTATTAACCTTGTGGAATATTAAAAAAAAAATGCACGAGCAATCAACTTATATGTAACCAATAATACGTAAAAATGAAATAATACATTGCATAACTGATCTGAACTTTTAATAAACTGAGTAAGTTTTTTTGTCTCATGCATATAATAATATAAACTCATCAGAAGGAAAAGTGAGATTCTCTGGATATTCTCATAATAGCATCTCTTTAATTATCTTTCCAGTAAGTACGTGTGCCTTTTTCGACAAAGTATCCATTTCCATCCCTGCCACTCTTGTAAATACGTTCGCGTACGATGACACTGTTTCTTCCTTGCTGCAAATCGAGTCATCAAATTAAAGGAAGTAGTCATCGTCAATCAAAGGAAATTGAAAAATAAAAGCAGTTAACATAGCATTAAAGAATTCAATTTAGAACTTAGAAAACGTTTGTTTTGGTACAATGTGAAATATAATTACCACATTGCATCTTTTAATTACACAGGTCGACATTTTAAGACTTTTTTTCTGTTCTTTGAATAAAAGATATCATTTCCTCTATATTTTTGCGCGTTGAACACGAATCCGGCAATGAAATTGCTCTATCACGTCAGGTTTTTGAGAAAAGTGAAGTTAAAGGTGTCAAAATTAATGTTTTTTTTATATATTTTTTTGTTAGCGAAGTAAATTTTTTCTCTAATTTGGTTTACGCCATCTTAAAGTGTCAACTTTTATCTTTAAAATATATTTTTTATAACGCCGTATGTTTTTTTTCACCGAGATAATGTCTGCGTAGTCACACCACCATTTTCGCGCGCGAAAACATTTTTGGCACAAAATAGTTTTCTTGGTGTGACTACGCAGACATTATCTCGGTGAAAAAAAACATACGGCGTTATAAAAAATATATTTTAAAGATAAAAGTTGGCACTTTAAAATGGCGTAAACCAAAGTAGAGAAAAAAATTTACTTCGCTAACAAAAAAATATGTCAAAAAACGTTAATTTTGACACCTTTAACTTCACTTTTCTCAAAAACCTGACGTGATGGAGCAATTTCATTGCCGGATTCGTGTTCAGCGCGCAAAAATACATAGGAAATGGTATCTTTTATTCAAACAGAAACCATGTCCTCCAGTGTTATTAATACATAATCACTAATGCGGGGTCACAATAGAAGTCGTAGCGGTCGTAGGGTCTTAAATCGTAGAAAATTGACCAATCACAGTTGATTATTCTTCTTATATTCGACTGTGATTGGTCCATTTTCTACGACTTAAGACTCTACGACTGCTACGACTTCTATTGTAGACCCCGCATAAAACTATTTTGTTCAGTGTTAAAGTACATATACCCTTTCCAAAATATTTTTTTATTTATTATTTCATACCGTGTAATCGGTACGTTGATAGCCTCTAACTTCACCCTGGTCACCTCTTAGTGCAACTTGATTGTTACCACGATAAGCTAGAGCTTTACTGTTAGTATTAAATGACTGTCCTCTTGAAGAATGATTGTCAACAAAGTCCCAAGCTTGATCTGGTGTATCAAACTTTTTATATTTGTTATGGGAGTATCCATGAACTTGATCTTTGCAATCCTCCCTAACATAAAGTATTAATTTAGACTCCGATTGCAAAAAGCATAATTTTCAATTATTTTATCAATTTTCTTACCAATTGTCATAAACTCCAGTCGAACGACCACTAGCCACTGCGTAGTAAGGCATTCTGACAAGAAAAAAAATGCAGAAATTTCAGACTAATTTTTTGCACATTGCTAGTTATATACATAATATAGTGTTTTCCATTTGATGACATGAGTCGACACAAGTGTTGTTCTATCTTTATTACTTATTAAATGTAAAGAAAGATAGAACGATGCTTGTATCAACTTGCGTCATTAAATGGAAAGCATCCATATTTTATTATTATTACTTTTATTATTACGTCAACAAATCATAGATTCAAATGGAAAAAAATGGAAAATAGTATCAAAAACAGGAAAATGCAATTATAGGTCTGTTTGTGTTGCACTTTTTACATCTGCTTTCTCTTTTTCAATGTCCAAATATATATCTATCTCATTTTAAGTTCAAAAATTTTTGGGGATTTCGATCAAGATAAACAGATCGTGTATGGCTAGATCCACAGCCTTGCTTTAAGAGACCGTAAGCCGTAAGTTTTAAGTTGTAAGTGACGATATAAAGGCCACAGAACTTATGCTTTTAAGCTGTAAGAATTGGGTTTTGTTCAATTCGCTTAAGTTTAACGGTTAAAGCCTAAAGACTGCGTAAAAATAGAAATTATTGTTACTTGATCTCTTTCAACTTATGGCTTAAGGCTTCTTAAGCAAGGTTGCACAGGACCTATAGTCTAATTGTTTGCTTTTTTTTATTTCTTCACCTCGTAAATTTTAAGAGTATAATCAGAAAGGGCAAACCTTGCATTCAAAAATTCTTTTTACTCTCTCTCTCCCTCTCCCTCCGCCCCTCTCCCTCTCTTTATTATATCTATAATCAGTTTCAGGAATGTCTGACGTGACATCATCAAATACGCCAGAAGGAACATAATCACAAAGAAAAAAGCATTTAAGATGACATTTATATAAGTCTCGATCACAAGATTGCGTTAATAACTTCAAATAGTCAATATTTACCGACAATTTCATATTTTTTACATTTTACATTTGTACGTTTCAATCGTAAGAGAGAATCACTATGATGGACGAAGTAACAAAGAAATGATGCAATCAAGCGCAACAAGTCCTCGCCTGTTCAATTGATCAAATATCATTACCCGAGAGCTAGTTTTCGTAAGCGAAAAATGTCATGTTCGTCAAAACTTACTTGATTATCTGCAATGTCAGCAATTATTGCAGTAATTTTAAAACTTTCAGCCTTATTGCTGTTCAACCACGTCCGTTGAGCAGAGAAAATCGTACGATACGAAAGGATACGAAAATGACGTTATTGGTGCCTATCTTTTTTTTCCATTAGTGAGATAGTGAGTGGTGTATATAGACTGCTTTGACATAGCAAATTTGAATCCTATGAGTCCCTTGACGTTGTATCACGTGACTATTCGAGAAATTTCATTGGCAGAGGAGGGTAAATGGAAAATTTGGGGTGGAGCTAACCCCACGTCGCTAATTGGCTAATTTATTACACATTTTTCTGATTGGTGCTTGGAGTTTTTCCACTAAATCTAATCAGGCAAGTTCACTAGACCGATGGTAGCGTCTGATTGGTTGAAATTGCTGTGATTCACTAGCTAATAAAAAAACCTTTACAATTGCGACGATTGTCAGATCTGAATTGCCTAAAATCTCGAGCTTGCCTGCGAATAACTTCGCGCGGTAAATCCAAAAGTCTGCGAATTTGTGCGGTCGATGACTTTCACGGAAAATGGCATTTTCGCAATCACATCAGCAAGAACTGATTGAACTGGCCGAAATAACGGGAATCTCTACGGTACCCGGAGTTTTTCGGTGAGACATTTGACAATGGTTTGTCAAAAGTGGAATTTCGCCCGTAGGACATAACCTCTCTGCACGATTTTATCACAATATAATTTTCTCTGTTTGTAGAATTGTATTGGAATTATTGGCGTTACAAGTATCTCCGGAGGATATTTACACTCTTCTTAAACAAATATCGACGAGATCGTCGAAATTGCTGAATCGACAGACATCAAACGAGAAGAATGCGCAAGCTTCTGTCTCGTCTATGAAACAATGATTTTGTATGTAGTTTATTGATTTGGTAATTGATAGCTTTAATTAAATCGCAATAAAGAATGTATTTATGTAGATAGAGATGTAAAAGTAACATGTATTTTTCTAGAAATAATCTATAGTATGGAAAATATAATTTAACCATTCGTATTTCTCATATTTTTACTTGATGAGAACTTTTTGTTCGACGAGCCATTTTTGTCATTAAGTGTGATTTAGTCATATATATATATATATATAGTAATTTCCTATGATAGCAATTTTTGTTTATATGTGCAAAAGTATAACAATGTACTCTATTCTAATTTTAATCATATTTTGTATCTGACCGCATTGTTTTTATAATAATAAAATTCACTAAAAAAAGAAAAAGTGAATTATATATTAGATTTATTGATTTCATGTACAATAAATGATTTTGATCATGTACAATAAATGACACCATGTTTTCTACAGAAAAGTTTATATATGCAAAAATAAAACAAATCTAAGATATAATTTATAAGAAGTATTGTACTTTTATCTTTTATTCAACTTGGTTTTTATACCGCAAGCAGCCTTCTCTTGCAAGTTTATCTGCCATTTCATTACCATAAATTCCTATATGTCCATTCACATGATTCTAAAAGATTGAATGTGTTAAATTTTCACAATAATATATTTATATTATATTAATTATAAACATTATATATATAACCCTTAAATAAAAAATTGCTTACCCAAGCAACAGTCAAGTTTTCTAATTCTTTTTCCATTTCTAACAATTCTATTGTATTTATAACTGGCTTGTTATCCACAGTCTTCCATCCTCTTCTCTTCCATGCTGGCATCCATTGTGTAATGCAGGAGATGAGAAATTTAGAATCAGTGTTGATTTTCAACTTCTTGATTCCTGCCTTTTTCGCCTGTCTCACAGCTACTGTAACAGCTTGGATCTCTGCTACGTTATTAGTAGGTCGTCCATCCACCGGTTCAGATACATTTCTACGAAAATTATACCTAAATTAGATTCATTGAGTTTTAGTAGACAATGGACAAGACTGAAAAATAAAATATACAATGGATGATTGTCTCGAAACCAAACTCCGATACCGGCTCGTGCATTCTTGTGTCCATTCCAACTGCATGCGCCATCCGTAAAAACGTTCACATAGCCATCTTCATCCACGATAAAATCTGTTTTGTCATCCTATATAATCCCAAATTTATGAAATATATTTTTGCAGTATAATTTATTTCTTTATTTATAAACCACATATGAAATTCTCAGAGACCATACTGATCAACTCTATCAACTTCATGAAATAAAAAATTGATGAAATTATAAATTATTCGCTTTAATATTAAACTTTAAAAAATTGTAAATAGTAGAGTTGATCAGTTTAGCTTTTAAAAGGCTTTATTGATATACTATTAATTTCAAACCTGGTCAAGACACTGAGTTAATCTAAAGCAATTATTTGAAATGTTAGATATTTTTCTCTTTTTGCTCAGGTGTTCATTACTATCGTCACTTGTAGATAAAGTCCTCTTTGAAATTGATAATAATGGTTTTGTCTGAACTACTGTAGACTGTTTACCACCAAGTGCAAACAATTGTTTCGGCAAGGTTTCTGATCTACATAAAATATTAGCTTTAAGTGATATATTGTAGTGAGATTTCAGAGTTTTATTAATGCATTTTCGCAATACTTCTTTCTTATTTATGTTAAACAGAAATTGTTATTAACCCTCTACTAGCAATGCAGGATCTTTTAATTTAAGACACAGTCAATTTTTTGATTGCGAGAATTTTAAGAAAATAAATATTGGAGTTTGATATTGCTATTATTTTATTTTTTCCCAAAGAACTTGAGATTTTTTATTCATAAAAAATTTTTTTTTTCTAGGCGCTCAAATAATTTAAAGTTTTAAAGCAAATATATCTCTCTCTCTCTCTCGTTATACTTTTTTTTAAGTAATACCCTTGAGTATTGTAACCCAAAAAGATTTTTTTTCATTCACTCATATAAAAGTTATGCACTTTTAACCAATATCATGTTTCTCCAAAACTTACATTTAAATTTACAAAAAAAGTAAAATATAATTTTACTTCTATTACAGTAAAAGCATGTTGAAGGTTCCAAAAATATATACGAATTTTTTCAGAGAATTTTTTATATAGTTTAAAACGATACAAAAATCTGTTTACCTCAACAACTCAGGATGCAAACTATGATCAAAAATTTCATATTGCCAGTGAAGGATTAATATTTACCTTGCAGCTTTCACAATTTTCGACAAAGCAAGGCACTTAGTAGAATTTGTTACTACAGTTGAAGAAGAACGCTCCTTTATAAAGTTTTGAGCCTCGCTTTCTGTTGCAAATTTCTTGTATATTGACCCAGGAAATTTAAGAACCTGAGCACTGCATTCACCCCTGTTAAAAATAGAAAAACTCTCATTTAATTCCTTTTTGCTGATATTAATTTATTAGTCGAATTGATTCCTTTACCATGTGGCATAGATTCCAGGTTTTCGACCTTTGGCAACTGCATAGTAAGGCATTTTGCTTAAGAAATAATGCCTTGCTACAAAATTCAATTTCATCAATTTGTTCAATACATACGATCTTCCTGGAGCATCATAGGTATCTTTATTTAATGTTTACACTTTTATTACCAACGTGGTAAAGGTATAGAATACCCGTCTCATCTCCGATTTTGATGAAATTAGGCTTATTCGACGCGTTTTTGCACGAAATGAACGAATGTGGCAGAAAAAAGTGCCGCTCTGACCTCCGAACCGAGATATTTAGCGTTAAAGTTTACGGCCGTTCAGGTTAGGAAATCTGTCATACCGACTCGATATAAGCGCTATAAGTATGCCTTTTTCATGCTCTGTGACTTAATGCGCATGCGTTTAGTCACTATTCCGTACAATAGAATGCACGAAATTTAAAATCAAATTAAAAAATGAATTAGTTATTCGTGCAATGTTTCTATTATACATGGTTCTATTTCAAATAAATCAACCCATGTGGACAGTGAAGTGTATAAACAGCTACGCCGCCCCGAACCAAAAAAAAATAACATATCTACCCGCTTGGGGCCTAACTGCGTGGAAGTTACAGCTGAGACAGTGTCCGCTTGGAATATTCTTAACCCATGTGAAGACATTATTATATATTATTAAATTATATTAATACTTGTACACGCGACACGTATATTTTAGTGTATAGTGTGTTGTATCAAAAAAGGGAAAGAAAAACCTAGATAGCAGTTTGGCATTATAATTATTTGTCATTTGATATCAAAATAATGTCTTTAATGCTATTTTAATGTCAAAATAGCATCAGCTTGCTGAAACATGAAAAAGAAAGAGGACCATCGATTGTAATCAATGGGGATAATGGAGGGCCTCTCTCTCAGAAATTCGTAGAAAAAAACGTGGATGTGTCATTCGCTGAAAATATCCATGGCTACATAATATGTACTTATAAATAATACTTTGTACACATAGAAGCGTTAGTAGACGGGTTTCATTTAAAATCATTCTATTCTCAATCGTTTAGGTTTCTCTTTACCTAAGAGAAGCCATTCCGGCGTTTTTCGAGATTAAACGTGCTGAAATTAAATTAACATTTTTTTTAGAACACAAAGTATCTTTCAAAACTACGGATTACTTAATTCTACTATAGAAATAATGGTGAATTCGATCACTCACACTACACTGGATCAGTACATATTAAAAGCTGCTTTACATAAAATATCTCAATGTAGTGATACAATATAATCAACTTTGACAATGAAATGATACATACATATTTTGTTAAATAACGTGACAATGGCCGGTATTCATAGTCGGTTCTTATTTCAAAACCATCTTAAGTAATGTCTTAATACGCTAATGCGGCTCTTTGATTGGTTCATGACACCTCAAGGCTGAACTTAAGACGATCTTGAATATAAGAACTGACTATGAATACCGGCCAATATCATTAGTAGATAGTTAATCGTTTAAAATATTTATATACTTTTACATTTAACTTTGTTAATTTCATGTAAAGCAGCTTTTAGTATGCATTGATCTAATGTAGTGACCGAATTCGCTTATAAGACATTTTGTTTTATATACATTTATTAACATGAAGCTGCATGGTCTTACAATGCTATACACCGTTATGAAAAATACAACAATAACATAACATTTATATAGTATAACTTCTTTAAAAGAATTATATTCAACAAGGACAGAGCGCATGTGTTAAGCTAAAGAGAAAATTTATAAATGATATCAACGATAAATATATATATATATAAATCTTACTATATAAGTGAACACAAATATTAAAAATGGAAAGTATAATAAATAATATTGTAAATATACCGTTAATGTCACATAGTCGTCATATTACGTACAGGGTAAAAGAATATTCGCGTATTGTATCCATTCACGCAACAAACTCATCGCGTACGGTTTTCCAAATGTATGTGAAAAATCGTCAAACATCCAACATGAGAAATGCAATATAAATAAGTGCATAGTTGATCGCTGAAACGTATTCTTCGTAAAATCACAATTTTTATCGTGGCAGACTGAGATGCCGAGACCGGCTGAAATACAGGTCAAGTGGCTCCAAAATGGACGTCTCACTGTTTGCGGAAAACGAGTATATTCTTTCGCAGATTAATACTGCAATTCGAAACACATTATTTCTTTTCCATAAAAAATAATCTCATTCTTCCGCTTTCGGGGAAACGTAACATACATTGAAGAGAGCGAAGTCTTTCTGGAAGATGCGTGGCGCTTTTAATAAATGTTACCGAGAATATTTCCTAACGTTATTACGTATAACGTATGCTAAGTAATGAATGCTAAATTGCCTCGTAGGCCACATCAACGCCAATTCTCGTGACCGAGCCGTTTAAAAATTCTTCAAGCTCATCTCGCTCTCGATTCTCGTCCTTCGATCGATGCGATGAGCGTTTTTTCTTTTTTTCGATCTTCTCAGTTTTCTCCTTATCCTTATCTTTGTCTCTTGACTTCTTCTTTTTCCTTTTCTCCTTTTCATCCCCCTAAAATCAACAAAAAAAAAATAAATTTACAACTCAAAATCAATTGAAGAATTGAAAAAAAAAACACTCTCTAGGCCAACTAAGAATCTTCTTTCATAAATTATTGTTGAAGACAATTACCTTCTCTTTATGTTTCTTTTTTTCTTTCATCACCGGACTACTAGCATTGGAGCTTACGTGGCGCACACTAGTATCATCAAGCAGCTCCAGATGAACATTAGAACTTGTCACGCTAACGTCCAGACTTTTATCGCTCAATTCCAGTCTATCCTTTCTTGTACTAGTACTACTCACGTCTTCACCTCCTTCAGGACTTTGTCGCCATTTGGAATCCCGTCGCAACCAGCTATCAAAAGCATCCGAGTTTATATCTGGTTGCTCGTTTGATTCATATTCATTGGAGATCTGCAGCTCTTGTTCTATAGAAGAAACGGAGTTGCTTTTCGTGACTTGTTTTGGCTGCTCGATATTTATCTCTGAACCTGATAGCGGTTCTAATTTGTGTTTCTGTTTGGACAGCGGATTCTCTGTTAATTTTGGCTGTATAGGAGAAGCTACTTCTTCAATGGATGACAAGTCATCCTCGTAACCGGCTACCAGAGGATTACCAGTCTCCATGTCACTGTAAAAAATTATATTGTGATAATATATTAATACTGATTATAATTACAATAAAATGGAAAATATAATTCTTAGTAATAGTATGTATTGATTATATTTACAATATATTAAAAAATATAGAGAATTACATTACTAAAACTAGGATAAAAATAATTATTAATATGCACAAAGATAAAAAGATAAATACAAGAGAACTAAAGATTTTATTTTAAGAAAACAATGATAATTTATGCAGGTTTCTTTTAATATTGATAGAAATGCTTGATAATAATTTAACATCTCTAACTAAAATAAAATTAAACACAAAAAGTAATTTGCTTTGTAAACTAAAATATAAATTATATACATTATTTTTTTATTTGTGTATTTTACTTATATTTTTTAGAAATAGAGCTGTTTAGAAAGCGTTTTGCTTACCTCTCAGATTCTGCCTCTTCTTGAGCTGGTGCAGAAATCGGCTCTGGGGTAAGGGAATTAGGGCTCAGACTGCAGCCTTCCAAAAACGATTTGTCCAGCATTCCATCTGGCACAAAGTCTTCAACACTAGTCAACGGTGCGTTCAAATTAACATTTTTAATATTTGGCAGTTTCCCATCTATCTCATCTTCCTTCTTATGACCAAAGATCTTGGACATGAGTGACGATGATCGATTGAGTGAATCTCTTCTCTCGCCATTGGCAGATTCAACCGATTTAACCACTTCTATTTTAACAGTGGAATTTTGTGAAATAGATGATGTCGTAATTTGTGATGTTTTCGTGGAATTAACTACATTATCCAACGTGCTCGCCGTAGAGCTCTCTTTCCTCGGTTTCATTTCCAAATTTTTCACCGGTATTGGAGTTCCGCCTCCAATAGGACCGGGCATCGAAGCCGATCTTTTGACTTCTCCGATGGCATTTGTGTTGGAAGCTATGTGATAATTACTCATAGACGACGGAACAACGTTTGCGACTAGATTGCTAGCGGACACTGAATCGGCAAGTGCTCTTCTACGATTCACGAGATTGTCTAGGAATTTGTTGTAATCAGCGTCGTCGCTATCCTGGAAGAGATCTAGCTCCTGGATGGTCAAACGCGTCTCCTCTTCATTGGTCTCGAGTTGCTTCAACAGTGTCTCGCGTTGCAGTTGCAGAAATGGTAAATTAAAAAATTTGTGTAATAATTTTAGACCGAAGCCATTTCGCATCGATGACTCTGCGTATCTCACCTGCAACAATTCATTTAACTTTAGAATTAAGTGAAATCTTTTAGTTTTGGTGCTGAGTTATGAATATTACTCGATATAAATTACAAGTAATCAATAAATTTTTTTTCAAAGAAATAATTAGCAAAATTTATTAATAAAGTAATAAAATAAATAAAATGTGTTTTCTTTAAAAAATTTTAATTCTTTATATTTTTTTATCTGCAGAAAACCTCAATATTCTTTCAAACAAAACTTTTATTAAAGTATGATGGTTTTAATAATATTTGTTAAAATATTAAAAGAATGACAAGATATAGAATTAATTTCTTAATTTTAGGAATTAAAAGATTATGATAATAATTTCAATTAAATTTTAACTAGACATGATACTGTGAATTTTTTTTAATTTACTATTAGAAAAATATTCATTGATAGCGAAACACACGATGATTGTAATATTAACAATTATTTCAATTACTTGTGCTATTCTCTCGTGTAGTGAATCTATGAAGTATGTCACGTGATCCGCGGTGACGGTTCTGTGATGTGACATGTCGCAGTGGTTGCCGAGGACAATAACAGGTATGTGGCTAGGTATTTTCGGCAGCTCACGTTGGACGTAATCAAATGTCCAGTTCTTCGTGATGTCCATCACAATGATAACGCCATTGGTACCCTTGTAAACGTCGAGAAACTCGGCATCTAAGGCAGGTTCCTCGATAACGTTTTCTGCATTAGCCGGAGTATTGTCCATTTTTAGACCCTCTAATTTCCGCCGGCGTCTACCGCGATCTACGACATCCCATACCTCCACTTTGACCACGTCGTCGGTGGCTTTGTAATTCCACTGTATACTCGCCACCTGTATCTCTTCTGTGGGTATATACTCTTCGATAAACTTTTGCCCCTGCAGTCTATGGAATAAACATGTCTTTCCTACATTCCTGTCTCCTTTTATTATTATTTTCACTAAAAATAATGTGTAAAGATTGCATTACAACTGGTGTTTTACTTCGTCATCTACACGTAAAGCACATACATGCACTTACTATTATATTGCACGCCTTTAGCAAACTTCCTCTGAAGATTCGTTGGCATGGATTGATGAGCTGGTCTGGAAGACGCATTGCCGACCCCATCGGATTTACCGGCTAATCTTTTAATGGCAGAAAACATCATGCGATTCCTCAAAGAAGCATCAATTCAAGAAATAACTTTGATGCTTAAAAAGGAAAGTTAACTGCAAACACCTGTACGAGATATATTAAAATAAAGCAAAAAGTGTAAGCAAAAATAACATAAAAATACTTACAAAATATTTATAAAATAATAACATAAATATATCATTTCTTGAAAAAATATAAAGGCTGTATAATTTTCATCGACGCGATTATTGGAGGACACTTTATAATTTACGACGCAGGCTAAAAACATATTGCTAGTGATAACGGTGGTAAATAATTTAATTGCTCTACGTGATGATTATTATAGCATTGACAAGTACTGTCCACGTCGTTACCGGGAGATGTACCATATTACCGTATTCTAATGGAACAGATGGGAGTACAAGCATCGGAGCACTTAAAGCCCACGCATCCTCGCAAACAAGATTGAATGAGATCCGACTCTCTAACCCAAATTGAATTTTTTTCACGGTCGTTGGAAGAGTTCGATGATTCGCGCGGGATACGAACGATCAAGATTATTCCGAGAATTCGTAAAACATTCGCGTGAAATTGCACTTACCACTCGTTTAGCACGATCCAAGCCTCATGGAATGAAGCCGGATCTCTCGCCGCTGAATGCACTGCGAGACAGCTGTCATATGTAGCAGCCAGTAGCAGCTCAAGCAGCTGTTTCTTTCTCTCTCGACGTCCCAAAGTTGGCAGCGCCGACTGTTCTGCACTCTCGACATGCCAATGCCATTCATAAAAAATATCGATCGCCAATAAACTCCTTGCGTGATAATAAAACAGATTCTCCATTTATCTCCGAATGCGATCTGTCCTCTCGTTTTGAATATCTTCTCTTTACATTGCTAAAAGCTGGATCTTACTTTATATTTATTTTATTTCAACCTTCTCTCTTGCCCTCAAAACGTAAAGATTTCATTTCGTTATCTTGAAGAGTTCGATTTTTCGAATTGTGTATCAATTGCTCTATTTTCGAGAAAATATGCCGTTTCCGTATTTTTATTTTATATATATTGTTTTAATTTTTTAATCAAATCACGAACATAATATTACGAATGATAGCGAATGATACAAAGAAATATAAAATAATTGTTATAATTATCTTAACACAAATGCATTAATATGTTAAAATTCTTGTGTTCGACAAAAAAATTATAATTAGGATATACTAAAAATTAAAAAGTACGCCGTGTTTAAACAATAATTTATTACTATAAAAATTACAAAAATTTAAGATCGTTACGCACTATTCGACTCCATATCAGCTTGATAGAGCAAAGGTCTCAATTCCTCTTCCATTATGGAGTGTTTATCACCGTGCGTTATCGATAGCACCGTGTTCGCTTTAGTCAGTGCTTGAAGCGCTTCTTTCGGTTTTTCTAAGTGCAACTGTATCTTTCCTACCGTGAGATACAACAGTCCTGTCAAAGGATGTATTTCCCCGTAATACAATCTGAAAAGCGAATAATGACATCCTTAACTAGAATTATTCATTTAAAATAAAAAAAGAAATAAAATAAAAGTGTATTATGAATTATTTTATTATCTATACAAATTAGATAAATGATCACTCACAAGTATCCTGGCATGAGTTTCTTGCCATAAAACTCCGCATCTTCCCAACACTTCAGATTTACAGCCGCGATATGAGCCATTTCTAGAGTACGGACATGTTGTATATTAAATTTATGCATTACACCCTTCTGCTTTTTTAAACATATCTTACTAACATCAAGATCTATTGTTATTAATAAGGAAAAATATTAAGGAAAAATTGTATCATTGTATAGAATAAATGCATTGTTCCAAAATTTAATACATCTATTAAAACAAAAAAATATTACCAAGTTTTTTAAAGTAAATATCAAAAAAGGATACAAGCCATAGTTTTCATTTTTTCCAAGTGGTGAGCAGTAAAGTCGATGACTTCCCGAAATGTCTCTTTAAATTCTGCAGATATTTTCGTGCTACACTTCTCGCATTCGTCACCTTCAATCGAACACGGTGAGTCGCATGATAAGTTCGGACACGCAGCCGCTTCGGCCATTGGTTCCTCTTTCTTACATCTTTCGCAATCACATTCAAAGTAGTACGAACTGTGCAATTCCTCACGCCTATTCTTATTAGAATTGAGTAAATCCACGTAAGATATTCTTATCTGTGCAAAATAAAATTACACAAATACCGAAATGTAAAATATATCTAAGTATTGATCTGTTTTTAATTATTGAGAGTTATCGGTAGAATCAATTGCATCAAACTTTTGAAAGCTATAGAAAATTAAATGTTTTTCAACTATTAGAGTTTACATCTTTACTTGCCTGCGACCAATCCAATGAAGGAAGGTCTGTCAATGTTCTAACAATAATAGTAGTTCCTTCAAAAACAACAATTACATTAGGTTTACAACTATGATCCATCACAGATGCTCCCAGATAAATGCCAACTCCGATGGTATTCATATTGACATCCAATATGTTGAAGGAGTTAGTACATATTCTGCCATAAATACCCATCAGCTCTGCCATATTAGGTATAAATGTCTCATCGAGAAACTGGGATAAAACTCCATATAACATGGTGAAATGTTCCATTCGCTTAACATCCATTTTTATGTCTGAATAATCTATAATTCAGAGATACAAATTGATTATGTATATTCATAGATTTTTTTCTTAAAATTTCTTAAAATTTCTTTAAAAAGAGAGAAAAATATTTACGAGACATTAGGTCCTTGAATCTTCTAAAGTTTTTCTCAGTGTAATAGCCCACTTCCTTGGCTCCACCTTGATTGAGCTTGAAAATGATTCGTGCCATAAGTCGAGCCGCATCTGGCAACACTTTCGGCGACACCTTTTTTAAACGTGTACATTCTGTCTTGTGTATTGGCCACGATTCTTTCTGACAATTGCGGTCGCAATAATACACGTACTGACAACTCGAGCACTTTAACAATTTCCCACTGCAATAATAAATCACATGATAGCAAGATACTTAAAGCAATATATAATGTGTACCAAATGCATTTATACGTACAGTTTATATTTGCTTTATCCCAGGTGAAAAAAATTGTCATATTTTTAAGAATGTTGCATCTTATGAAAATTTATGAGAAATATTTTAAACTTTTTCAGATTTTATAAATTTTCTTTAGAAGTTATAAAATGAGAAACCTTAGAAGTCTTAAAATATTTCAAAATTCACATACCTATATGAAGAAGTCCAGAAAAGACAAGTCTTTCTTGGTTCTAATTACTTCTGAAGTGTGTTCCAATTTATATAAAAATCTGAGAAATTTTTTTAATGATGTAAAATTGTATAAAGAATTCTAAAAAAACTTTTCACCAGGGGATATACAAAACTATAATTCAATCCAAAATACTTAAATTAAAATAATGTAACAGAAAACTATCAGATATAATATTGCAATTTTAGACGCTGTTTTAAATATTTAGTATATGGTTTATTTATACCTCTTTAAACAATTGTCACATCGAGTACTCCTATGTTTCGAGTTAAGGGTAAAAACGAATGGTTTACCGGTAAAAATTGTTGTTCCTTTTTTTACTATGTCGGCACTCATTTCGAAAACAAAGGCATAAATTATATTTATGAAATATTCAGTCTTTCTATTCCGAATACGTGAAGATTTTAAAGCGTGTTCTAACCTAGTCTACTTGTTTTTGTTCGACGAATAAACACCGGTATTGTTCATAACCTCAAACTTCTAACTTGTTACATTTTTCTTCAGTATGTCATTCGTGGCGTCTTATATAATTCGAACGAATTTAAATTATAACAGAATATTTTTATGTGCAGATAATATAAAAATAGAAGTGCACTTATATTTTTACATTATTAAAAAAATATATATTTTTTTTATTTCTCACGTCATTTCTTAAGTAATATATTTATGCTGAATAACACTTTGTCTTTTTTTTATATAATACAATATTCATCATTTAATAAATCGATTCAAATATTTGAAATAATAAGGAATTACAACCAAAGGATTTTATGTCAAATAAATAAATATTATATATATATATCATATATTCATCGATTTAAAAATTAATTCAAATATTTAGAATTAAGAATTAAAAGCCAGGCATACATTATCTAAATATTGTTATAAGCAATAATGAAGAGTAAAATTATTCCAAAAATATGAAACATTTATGAGAAGATCTGATAATTTTTTTCTCTCTTCCTCGTTTCCGAAAATTTTGATGCAAATTATATGTTCTTATATTCTTATTTTAGAAAAGAAAAATTTTAAGTTTGATTTTAAATTCTATCTATATATTGTATAAATTAGTTTTATAGACATTAGTTTTATAGCATAAAAATCAAAATTATATTTTCAAACATTGCGAAACAAAATTGTATTTTTGGACATTGCAAACATAGAAAATTGACAAGTATAAAAAATGTATATAATGAAAAATGAGTCTAAATTTTTAATAAATTATTGATATAATTCATTAGAAATTATGGGCTGATAAAAAGCATTTAATGTTTTGAGCTTGTATCTTATATTTAATGCTGAACTTTTGCAACATCAGTGAGGTTTGTAAATAGATTAATATAAAATATGTGCGCATATATATGTGTAAAATTCAAATTTAAATAATTTTCCATGTAATATACATTATATATAATTCTGTATAAAAATTACAGAAGAGTTCACAATATATAATAAAGGGACAATCGTCTTCTTTAACATTTCGTCGATAACAATATTTAATAAATTTAATATTTAATAAATTACGAGAGATATGCCAATTATTATTAGTAAAAAAACTATTAAATTTTATATATGTATATAAAACATTGCACAAATATAATAATTTTACGAATTGATCCCGATAAATTAGCAACGTCATAAAGATAATAAAGTTCAACAATCAATTATAACAATAAAACGTAAATAAGGCTGGGATTGAAGGAACAATAAGATTCGGAAGGAACAAGACGATTCTATCAAGATTATTTTTTTATGTAGATATATATATGTATATATATCTGATAAAACATTTTTTACCTTCGTAGGCAATGGTCGCATCTTTCGTCGCGCATCACCGATCTTACAACATAGGCAAATGGTTTCCCGTACAAAATAGTGGTACCTTTATTCACAGGTACTCGCTTACACCCTTGATTCTTGATTCTCATCTTTTCAGACTTCTTCAAGCTTTACCCTCTCGCTGGTTAGCCTCGAGAAGATGTCGAAAAGGCGTTGCACTTCCCCTAGTAACTTTAGAATTGCGCAGAATTGCGTAGATTTGCGTAGAATTGCGTCCGCCTTCCTCCTCTTTCTTCTCTCTCTCTCTTTCTTGTTTTGCTGATGTAAAGAGAGGTTCATACGCACGCTATGTTAAGATCGGTTTATTTTCGCATGACATATTATTGGAGCTAACTATAATAACCCTTAACCTGCTGATTTCTCATTAACAACCCGCTCTTTTTCTTATATTTCACAATTAAGACAAATCTGGAACACTTATTTACAGTCAATTAAGTTAAAAAAAGGTTACAGTAAAACTAGAATCGACGGATCTCTTCTTCCTGGAAATTCTTAAATCTTAGATACAGAATGTGGAAGCATATATCCGATATTAAAATACAAGTTTTGAA